CAGAACAGTGGCACCTGTAGGGATCCTTTTAGTGCTGTGAGTCTCAGATTCTGCATGTGAGGAGTGCTGTCTCACCGAACCAGAGCCAAGATGCTGGCAGGCTGCCCTCTCAGCCCATTAATGCCATAAATGATGTTCATCCGAAATATCTCCCCCTACACCAAACGCTTCCTTAGCTTTCAAACCGAATGCTGCATCTCTTTCCTTGCACATCATTTTTGCCTTTTGGAACTCTGCTTGCCAGGCTTTCCTCTCTCATTCTCAGTCTCCTTGTGTCAGCTTTAACTGACTGACTCCCAACTGTCAGCCACTGTTCCAAGCACCTGACGTGGATCAACTCATTTCACAAAGACAGAGTGCAATCCCACAAGGTTCTGTGCATGTATTTACAGGCCGACCCGAGGCATGTCAGTTTTGTATGTCATTGGTTGACAAGCTCTAGTGTGGCTGGATTTTACATTAAGGCCGCATGTTTTGAAAAGGTCACTTAAGCACTTGAATACTTAGGTGGGAATGGAAGACATCCTGCAGGGTCACTGCCCTAAAGTCAGTTATAATGTGTCAGGAAATAAACCTTCAAGAAATATTTGACAACAATACGAGATAATATATAAAGTGCTAAATCCCTTGGCATACTTTGTAAGTCCTCCAAGCAGTCACGGAAGGGAGAGTTGAATGAGAGCCTGTGTAACCCACGTGCTTGATGCTTATCTCTGAGTCTCCATGGCATCTTTACTTTCCATGAGGTCCTGTGACACAGCAAGAGCAGGCTAGCCAGGTGTGGCGCCCTCAGGAAGGTGCTTCTGGAAGAACACGCTTCCACAGCATCTTCTCTCCTCCCTGCCACACACTCCATTCTGATTTCTTTGCTACTTACAAAAATTAGACAACGTTACTTTGAATGAAGATATTAAAGTGCTATTTTTCTTATGATAAAAATGATGAAGCCTCATTCTAAAGATTTGGAAAGCATAAAGGAAACGCCAAAAAAAATTTTTTTAAATCAGAACACACCCAACTCTTAGAGGTACGGTGGGTAAGTTAATTCTGCCTTCATTTCCCCAAGTCATATTCCTTAAAGATATTTTCATAACCACGTTTCACTCTATGCCTGTGATGTAGAGGAAGGTCTGAAAGGAAGGGTCCTCTCCGCAGCCAGAAGAAGTGGCAAGTCTCATCCAATAGGCTCAAGAAAAACTTTCGCTTTGAGAGGAGGGACAAAGGTCAGCATGACGCCGGCCTGTCTCCATACAAATTTCTCTCTACAATTTTGAAAGGGACTCAGAGTTGGAACGTAAAGGTTTTAGCCTGAATTCAGGTCCACGATGGGAATTAAAGGGGCAGGAACAGCCAGTCTAACCAGATTATTCCCCTTCTAGCTAACCTGTGAAGATGCTTTGGAAAGATTTTTACATGAAATATCTCGATTGCGCCCCTTTCTTTCCCATCAAACCTTTCCCTTTCACCCTCCTAGATCCACACAAATGACAGCTTTATTTTTTGTCAAGCTACACTTTATAAGTTTTCTTTCTTTTTTTTGTCTCATTAACTCCACTCCCTTGGTCTCCCCAGATTTTCCAATGATTAAAGTAGTGGGCTTTTTAAAAAGGCCTCCAATTAGCACCTCATCAGCTCCAATTAGAGGAGACAAAAGCCGTGTAAAGATAACTCAATGAGAGAGGCCCGCACAACCTCATGTAATCACTTAAGACAAGCATCGGGCATTCTCTTTGCTAACTGCGCTGGGCCCATTCACCTTTCTTTCTTCCCTTTGGATGCATTTAAGACTGTTTTGCTGGGAAGACAGGCCTCCCAGGAGTCTCATAATTCCTCATTCAGAGGCTACCTGTTTACAGCTCACAGAACCCAAGGACCTAAACAATCCTATATTGTCTACCTACTGCTTCCTTAAACTTCAGCATCCTTAATGGCCAGTTCTCTGTGACCACAGCATCAGTTAAAGGCTGGCTTTATACTCACTGAGTATTCGCCTTGTACTGTCTTCTAATTATATGGGAGGGCAACAATGTATTTTTTTTTTCAAGAGAGTTCTTTGGAGCAGTTAATTTGGTGCCTGTACTAAATGCCTCCAAACATTAATTAGGGTGGAAGGAACCCTAATTTCCTCTGCAGCTTTCAGCTTTCCCCTCTACTTACTTCCCTTGTATTCACATAGGCCTGGATGAGTCTCCATAATGAAATTACCTCATTAATGCCTTTATTCTTCACAGTAACTCATTCAAAACCAACCATTTAGCTTTAATTTAATGCTGTCAAAAGGAAAAAGGTGCATTCATGGCTTTGATTAGCAAAAAATTTTCCCCCCTAAGGGGCGGACAGATTTAAATTATGAAGATGGTAAGTAGTAAGTTATAATTGGGTACAAGCAGCACTTCAGGGAAGCTTAAATGCTTTCAAAGCCGGGCCTGGCCGGTCTGCAGACTATTAACTGTGTCCAGTGCCTTGTTCTCACTATTTGAATTGATGGCAACTTAACTATGAAAAAGAAAATGGGGTTTAATTTTTGTTTAATACACAGTGGGGTTGTATTTACCCACAGAGCAATAGCTTTTTGATGAGCTCAGCCTTTGTTCTCCTAATAATTTATTATCCATGCTTTCTAACATGAGTTTTGAAGGCGCCGTGCATGTCCCTGTTTCTAGGCGAAAATAAACCCTTAAGTGCACAGACTGAGCAAGCGGGTTGCTGACCTAACACCTCGGCTAGGGCAGCACCAGGTACATGAGCTCTGATAACATGTTTCATAATGATTTTTTAAAAGTTACAGCACTTTGGGGATTTACCCCTTAAAAAAACTCATTCCCAGATGTTTTCTTATTTGATGCAAGGATCCTGTGAAGCAAGACTTAGATATTAAGTGCCTGGTGAAAAAGCAGGGGTTCGGGGAGTCTGAGGGATTTACTAAAAAATCATGGTCCGTGGCAAGTGCAGGACCAAAAGCCACTACAGCTCAAGCTTGGGGTAACACGCAATACTCGATTTTGAGGATAGAGCTACTTTTTTGTAACATCCAGAGCATCAAGTATGTTTACATTGGCTCAATCTCAATGTGTATATAAAGAAGACAGTTTACCTAACTAGGCTATACTATCCTAGGTGGAACATATATATAGTATCAATCACAGAAACACATGGTTCATTGCATGTCAGTGAACCACAAATGGACGGAGAGGGTCTTTCTGGATGCAAAGTGGTGTTCAATTATTAAGCACAAGCAACTGAGAGACAGAGAGAGAGAAAGAGAGAGAGACAGAGAGACAGAGAGAGACAGAGACAGAGAGAGAAAGAGAGACAGAGACAGAGAGAGAGAGACAGAGAGACAGAGAGAGAGAGAGAGAGACAGAGACAGAGAGAGAGAGAGGCCCAAGTAAGACCATGTAGCTTTTTCTTTCAAAACCTGAAATTATGTGACACAGCCATCAAAACAATATAGAGGCTCAGCAGTAAGTGTGGGACTTAGGGTCAGATCTGCTTTAAAAATCTCACCTCCATTGTGAACAGGTTACTTCTATTTTCTCAATCTGGGTTAATTCGTTTGTTCTATGAGGATAGTAAAACCCGTTTGTGAAGATAAGGAAACACATGAAAAGAGTAGACATTAATACAAGTGGCTTGCAAGTTTCAGAGAGTAAGCATTAGGGAGGAAAAACTTTTCCTCTGCCCTCTTAGATTCTGTACTTGAGGCCTGCAAGTAAATCTGACAACTGCTAGATTAACAAGAGAAAAGTCAGATTTCTATTCACAGAAAAATGTGACTCAAGGAGGAATTGGGGGCTTATATACCATTTTAATAGGGGATGGGGAGGGCACTTCTGGGAAAACAAATGACTTCTTAGAATAGGGTGGAGGGAGAGGGAGAAAGGGCACTTAAGAAAAGCAAACTACTTTTTAGAAAGATAAATGGGCTCATGAGAGAATAGATGGGAGATACGATAGTTTTGTGGCAATGCCTGTTTGGGTGTGGTGCCAACTCCTCCTCTCCAAGAAGAGAGTAGAGTTGCTCCAGGGAAGAGAATTTATGACAATTGAGTGCTTTTAGGTAGATAAGGGGTTTCAGGAACTTGAATGCTTTCAGCTCAAAATAATTTTTATGCCATAGTGGCTTATTCTGGACCCCTTCATAAGGAAAAAAATGGTATTAATAATAACTATTTATTGACCCAAGCTAAATGCCCTCCATACCTTAGAAAAGTCCCAAGATGCATCAATTCATGTAGTTTTGCATTAATTCATATATTTAATAGTTATGGCTTATAAGATATTTTAAGTGACGACTGTTTTAAAACCACCAGATATTAAGCATGCTGTTATAATACTTTATGCGTTTCTGAACACTTGAGATTATAAAATATTTGGACAACAAACAACAAATACAAGTAGTTCTGACCTTGTAGAAAATACCAAGAATGGGGGAAAATTTTATTTTCTACATCAGGTCTATGTAACTCTATCAGGATAATTTGCACATAGATAGTTTGTGTATGTGAGGACCGATATTTTTCTGGCCTTCAGTTATAATTCACTGGGCCTGGTCATTGTTGAAATGGCCACTGTATGCTCTTGATCAAGACCCTATTTCCTTGATTTGCAAACATGAAACACTCAGGTTTTGGAATAGCTGGGGAACGAACACCAGATCTTTTTTTTTTTTTTTTTTTTTTTTTTGCGGTACTTGGGCCTCTCACTGTCGTGGCCTTGCCCGTTGTGGAGCACAGGCTCCGGACGCGCAGGCTCAGCGGCCATGGCTCACAGGCCCGCTGGGCCCGTGAGCCATGGCCACTGAGCCCGCGCATCCGGAGCCTGTGCTCCGCAACGGGAGAGGCCACAACAGTGAGAGGCCCGCGTACCGCAAAAAAAAAAAAAAATTATTAAGCATAAACAGGGTGATGGGGAGGTGGGTACTGAAAAGTTCTCAGACCTGAGGTTCCACTGTTACCTCAAGTTGGTACATGACAAATCATGAACTCCCAGCTTTAAATTTATAAATTCCCAGCTATGTAAAGACTAATCATCACACTTAAAATAGAGTTTGGGGAGTCCTCTACTATTAAACTGACAAAAGTGTTAAATAAGCTATATTGTTCACAGCCTAACTTTGTTAGCAAACATATTAAAATGGGTAACAGTTCTGAAAACAAATATACCTTTCCATCATTGTCAAAAGAATCAAAAAATATTCCAACACCATTCCACATATCAGCTGATCCAAATACAGGACCCTCCAAGCCTTGATTTTCTGTATACCAAATTGCCTGTAAATACATAACACGGGACATTTAGAGACTAGTGGTATATGCATTTACACAAATTTTCCAAGTTAAAGAAATTACCGTACCAGGCCATCAGCTCCAATCCGACCTCTTCCAGTCACTCGAAATGTCACCTCAACTTCCCAGTTCTCAAAGGCTGCTTTTGTCTTTGTCCACACCGATCCTCTTTGGCTTTTTAAAGATGGTGCTATTCGAATTTGATCTGAACTTGGAATAGCATCTAGAATAGAAATCAGGGAAGAAAAGTTTTGTTATAATTAGATAAAACTCAATGAATCACCACCAAACTGTTACATATACCTACTGAGACCTAAGTTTAACTCAGTTACCTGTATGGTAACTTTGTTAGGAAAAAATTTCATGTTGACAGTTTCAGCTTTTAAATTTTAGCGGGTTTTGATACCCCCCTCCTATCTTTGGAAGAGTGCAATATCTCTGCAAAAAAAATTAAAGCTGCAACCAAACACTAAAAATTCAAGGGGCAGCAGGGAGGAAACTACAGCTTGAAAGGCAAATCAACTATTTAATTCTCATGATACTCTTTTTCAAACACCTGAAAAATTTGCATATTTTCTTTTCTAAAACTGTATTTTTTTTTTTTACCAGTTTACAAATGTTAGAAATCTCAAACAGTGTGAAAAGAACATACCACTAGGAATCAAGAGACTTATTCCTAGTCTCAGTTCAGCTGTGTGACTTTGAGCAAATAATTCTCTTACTCTCTCGGGCTCACCATATGTTCACCTGTAAAATGAAGGGGCTGGGCTCAATCACTTATATACACCCTAGAAGTTATATGCAGAATTTTGAGCATATATACATTCTTCTAGGGAGAGGGTCAATCAACTGAATTTCAAGTCAATAATCAGTTCTTCAGCATCAGGAGATTCTCAGAGAGAACAGTGATCCCTAAAATGATGGCCTGCACCTCCATTCACTTACTAGCTGTTTGATCGTAGGCAAGTTACTCCATTTCTCTAACAACCTCATAGGCATATAAGTGCATATAAATATTTCAATAAATGTTAGCTGTTCCTATTATTGGACTAGATAATTATTAAAGCACCTATGAGGTCTATATTTGGACAATTCTGGCACACCTTTTCAGATATTAACCAGTTCTGACATTCTGACATCCACACTGGGACATAACTGTATTGTTTCTTTACAGGTAGGAAAAATTGACTAAAAGACAAGTTGAGATATTTTAGTAAGTTCAGCCACTATTTGTCACCATGACTTTCAAACACGTAAAGGTTTGGGGCAGTCATCACAGGAAAAGCACTGGATATAGAAATCAGAAGACCTGGATTTGAGTACTATTCTACGGACACTAGGTAACCTCTTCCAAGAACCTTAATCTTTCTGAACATCAGATTTTTTCACCTATAAAACAGATAACACCTGCCTTGCCTACCAAGGATCTAATCAGAGCATGAAGAAGGTGAAAGAGCTCTGAGAGCTATAAAGGCTTACAAATTGCTGTTATCATTTTTGCCCTTATGGACCCAAGGATGTGTACTGACAGTACAAAAGAACATGAGGGTTAAGAAAAAGAAACACCATAGATTTGGTCTTAATTTGGGGATGATGTAAGGGGACACGTTTAAACTAAATCTTAAAAATTTCTCTATTAAAAAAATTGTTTTAAATAATGGATCTCAGGGCAAAATGAAAGGGGAAAAAATGATCAGTGGAGTTAAGAAAGCTGTGAGACTGTAAAAATTACAGTGATAATGAAAGCAAGGGATACCCATAAGCAGTGATTCCCAGAGTCAACAGACAGAAAAGTCACTAGCTAAAATTCTAATCTCTTTATTTCAAATTCAATGTAGCCATACAACTTTCATTCACCCAGGTACATTATCTGACATTTCTGCAGCAGAAAAGTTTAGTTGGTTATAGGTTCTGAAAAGAAAGTCAATGTGACTAATTTAAGTAGCTCATTAACATTCCTAATTGGCTGATGTATGTGGTGTGAGCGTGAGAAAAAGAACAGCAAGCCGGCAATGGAGAATGACAGAAGCGAAAAAATGTCAACACATTTACCACCAGTGCTGAAAAATTCATCATCATTCCAAGAAAAGAAACAAAAATCCCCCAAACCTGTGTTTGGCACACCTGCATCGTCTTTGTGTATTAAAACAATGCTACCTTGATAACAGTTGCCCAGCTACATACCCTTGATGAGTGATCACATAATAAATGTCCGCTGAGTAACAAAATGCACTCTACTTCAAATATTTAATGACTTGGTCATTAAGTCAAATTGAAATTTATGCCTTTTAATTATACATTAATTTCAGTGAAATAGCACTTCCTAAAAGTGTGCTTCCTATTCAGCAACTACTTTCTAGAAATGGAACATTTTGTTTCAAGCACTCGACAATCTAAAACGATGTATACAAACCTTACATAAATGATTACTTAATAACACATAAAGATGGAATTCAAACTGCCAGTGCTTCTAACCCCAGATAAAGGCATTTGCCACTTGTTTCAAAGGTTGCATCTGATGGTCACTGAACAGAGTTTACAGCATGCCAAGTGCTACGGCTGATTCCTTAGTCAGAGGTGACACATCGGCACTAAAGTAGATACGTTTTCTTTCACATATGTAAATAGCTAGCAAGGCTCTCTTACCCACTAACAGTGCTTAACAGTGCCAAACACATAAAATCAGTAACACATGGCGCACAGGTTATTTCAATTCCCCCCCCCACAAAAACCCCAAAACAGCTGTATATATAATGCTATTCTTAGCCTCAAGTTCTCAGTCAATAACCCCCCTCCCTTCTTCTACTAAATAAAGCAACGAGTGTGACTATTAAATTACCTACTGTGTTAATACAAGAGAAAAGATCAAAGACCACACCAAGTCACTGAGAAAGGCAAACTTAACGTACAGTTCCAAGAGGGTGAGAAGAATGTCCTGTGACATAAAGACTTAAAGATTATTCTAAAGCCAACACATGCCACCTCTAAAGCCGTCAGGGGGCATCGGGTACAAACTGGAGCATTACCCACTGCTAACACCAGAGGAGAAAACGCAGGGGAGGGCCGAGGGGGAGCGGGAAAGAAGGTGGAGGGCTGCCAGACCAGGTCTCAGGTTCGGAGGAGACGTGGCGTTGGGGTGAGACGTGATGCCCAGAAGCGAGCTCAAGTTAGTACCTGGAAGTGCGGGAACTAACGGAAAAACCTCTAACCCAAACGGAAAGAACAGACAACATCAAAGACGGGAGGAGGAAGGTCGGGTGGAGAGAATGTGGGAAAGACTGGGGGGCTGGCGGAGGGAACCTTGCGGACCAGAGCCGGCGTGCAGGCGAGGCTGCTGAGAAAGGTCCCCTCCACCGCGCATACGGGGTGCAGCGGGGAGAAGGTGAAGAGGAGGAGGCTCAAGGCGGGGAGGGGACCCGGGCCCCCCGACCTCTGCCCTGGCTTACTCCCCGCGTGGGCCCAGAAGGGCACGGTCCCGTCGCTCTGCACCAGGTGCGGTCCCTTGAAGCTGTATTTGTACTCGAAACGCCGATGTGGCTGCGCGCCTGGGGTGCCCGTGGCGCCGGCAGCTGCCGGGTGGCCTCCCACGCCGTCGCCCCCGACGAAACGACAGAGCGACAGCAGCAAAGCGCAGAACAGCGGCCGAGCTCCAGCCCGCGAACCCCTTTGCCTGGATCCCGCCATCTTGGATTCTGGGAAACGGGAGGCCGGCGGAAGGAGGAGGGGGCGGGCGCTGCCGCCGGCCAACAGGGCGCTCCATGATTGGCGGAGCCCGGGGGACCCCGAGGGCAAGGGTGAGCTCCGCCCCCAGACTCCGCTGTCCAGGAGGCTGCTGGACCCAGAGCATCTGTGGGCGGGGCCTGGGGCGGCAGGGTCCGCCCGCTCCTCCTATCCTCTCCCAGGGCGGGAAAGGGACTGCAACATACCCTTCCTACCTGATGTGGAGTGTTGGAGGAGCAGACCCGAAGGCCAGGAGCTTCCTCCTGCCTCTTAACATACTTTAGAATTCTCGAGCCCTGACATGGAAGCCACCTAAGTGTCCATCGACAGGTGAATGGATAAAGAAGATGTTGCACATATAAACAATGGAATATTATTCAGCCATAGAAAGAAACGAAATCGAGTTATTTGTACTGAGGTGGATGGACCTAGAGACTGTCATACAGAGTGAAGTAAGTCAGAAAGAGAAAAACAAATACCATATGCTAACACATATATGGAATCTGAAAAAAAGAAAAAAAAAGGTTCTGAGGAACCTAGGGGCAGGACAAGAATAAAGACGCAGACGTAGAGAATGGACTTGAGGACACGGGGAGGGGGAAGGGTAAGCTGGGACGAATTGGAAAGTGGCATGGACTTATATATACTACCAAATGTAAAATAGATAGCTCGTGGGAAGCAGCCGCATAGCACAGGGAGATCAGCTCAGTGCTTTGTGACCACCTAGAGGGGTGGGATAGGGAGGGTGGGAGGGAGACGGAAGAGGGAGGGGATATGGGGATATATGTATACATATAGCTGATTCACTTTGTTATAAAGCAGAAACTAACACACCATTGTAAAGCAATTATACTCCAGTAAAGAGGTTAAAAAAATACTTTATTTAAAATAAAAAAGAATTCTCGAGCCCTGACACCTGTGGACCCACCACATCAATCCTCCCTGACTATAATAAACCTTTTCAGTATTAGGTAGAAGAAAGGCATTCCTTTTGATGTGATACCCATTGTTCAGTAGCTGGTTTTCATTAGGTGGACTTTGCAGAATCATGTCTTTCCAGAAACAAGGCATAATCACGAATACTAATGGTCCTAGCCCCTGAGCTCCACCAACGTGTGTTAGGGCATTTCAGACTGGGAACCAGCAATCCACAGGCCCGGAGAAACCTAAGGTCTTTTTGTTGGTGTTGAATCAGGTGTGAGTTTATCACTCAACATTTACCGTTCTCAAAATCTAATCCCAAGAGCTTTCCAAATTTTGAAACCATAGCGATAAGGCATTCAAATGAAACTGAGTTTAGTTTTGATAAGAGGAATAATGTGCTGTGAAGGGAGGGAGAAATAGAACCTGGACATTTGAGATAGTATTGGTCTTTGATTCAACAAATAAGTTCTGCATTTTAAAAGGGAATCTCCTTTGCCTTACCTAGAAAAAATATTGTCAAAATATTAATGATCATCCAGAGTTTTGTTTTTCATAAATGTCTTACTGAATTTTTTTTTCAAATCTGAGAATAAGCAGTATGATTTAAATAGCTTATTTCATTAGCTCTTCTAGAGTTCAGCAGGTGCTCTGTGCGAATTGTTCCATTTGTAGATTTCTTTTTTCTTCCTTTTTTTTTGGGCCGAGCCGTGTGCAGCATGTGGGATCTTAGTTCCCTAACCAGGGAACGAACCCACAACCCCTGCAGTAGAAGCTTGGAGTCCTAACCACTGGACCACCAGGGAAGTCCCTGTAGATGTATTCTCTTTTTTTTCTTTTTGCAGTACGCGGGCCTCTCACTGTTGTGGCCTCTCCCGTTGCGGAGCACAGGCTCCGGACGCGCAGGCTCAGCGACCATGGCCCACGGGCCCAGCCACTCCGCGGCATATGGGATCTTCCCGGACTGGGGCACGAACCCGTGTTCCCTGCATCGGCAGGCGGACTCTCAACCACTGTGCCACCAGGGAAGTCCCTGTAGATGTATTCTTGATGTACTTGTGGGGAGAGGTGAACTGCCCGTCCTCTTATTCCTCCATCTTGACCCCTCTCCTCATTAGCTCTTAATGTGGGCTGAGTACCACATTAGCCCTAGGAGCTGCATGCCCACATTATTTTAACTTATTTTTCATTGGCCTCCCAACTTACCTCCAGATTCATGGGCCATTACTATTAAATCTCTTTCTAGTGCTCAAATCAAACCTTTAAGTTGAATATGGATTTATAGCTCCCCATTCTTCAGTCTCCAGATGTAACTAAATGAAAGTACACTCCTCATTACCACCTCAGCAACAGCAGGAACAAACAAACATTTAGTGTCTGTATAGTACCTGTGGGTCATTGCTCCAGTCTCTTCAGGGTTTTCAATTCATAGGATTTAATCAGTTTACCTCCAATTCTTTCATCTCTGTGGGAACTAACTCTATGCCTTGCATAGAGTGAAAAATCAATAAATGTCACAGAAATATTAACGTTTATCTTTATGGCAAATACTTAATGAATGCTTACTATATGCCAGAAACTGCACTAAGCGCTCTGCACATATTAGCTTATTTATTTTATTTAAAAAATGTTCTTATTGTAGTATGGTTGATATACAGTATTACATAAGTTACAGGTGTACAATACTGTATAGTATTCACATTTTTTAAAGGTTATACTTCATTTACAGTTATTATAAAATATTGGCTATATTCTCTGTGTTGTGCAGTATATCCTTGTAGCTTATTTTATACAACAGCGTATTGAAATACTTGTTTCTCCAGCCTGCTGGGCATCTAATGAGAGGTAGGTAGAAATATTTGAGGAAGGAGTCACTTACCAAGTAAAAAGATAAAACCTCATGAGATGAAGGCTTTTCTTTTCCCTGTTTGTCCTTCCTTCTGCCTGAAATGTGTATGCAATGACGGAGGGCAGCAGCCATCTTGTGACCATCAAGAATGATGGCCCAGGAAGCCAGAGGAACCCCACCTTTAGCAATTTTCTTGAGCCCCTCTGGCAGGGGAGTTCTGCCTATCTCCAGACTTCTATCTTCTGAGATAAGACTCTCACTCATTTAAGCCATTGTTTCCAGGTTTTGTTACCTGCAATCCTAACTGGTACCATAGCTCACATGCATTGAGTGCTACTATGTATCAGGCACTGTTCTGGATGGTAAATATACATTCACTCATTTAAGAGGAAATTAACCCAATGTTTTCATTTACTCTGCTGCTAGCTGTTTCATGTATAAGAAACAGTCCTCTTAACATACTTGACTGCCTCCCCTAAAATAACACGTTGGACATCTTAAAAGCTCTTCTCCAAGTTTTCGCCAGTTATAAACCAGTGATGAAGCACAAAGGCTTTGGAGTCAACTGACTGGGGGGTGACCCCTGGTTTTCCCAACGTGTGGTCTTGGGCAAGGTGTTTAGCCTCTCTAAAGCTTGGTTTCCACATCTAGATAAGGGAGATTAATAACAGTACCTATGCCATTTAAAATTTTCCATTTTAGAAAGAATTCACTGCCTGGAAGCCAGTAAGGTCTCAATAAACGTGAACTATTCTGCTGACATCTTTTCCCTTTTCCACTGATAGCAAAGAGAAGCCTAACTCAGCCCCATTAAATCAGTCACATCACGGTTGCATTCATCAAGAAACACAGTCCGTCACTTCTTCCCATCTCTTATTTTCTCCTCAAGGTAAGAAAACACACCCAAGTTGCCGTCAGGTTTGAACAGTGAACACTGAAGGACTCGTGACCTCATAGTAATGTAAGCTGCCCAACATCTTTTAGGTAAGTAGCAGATCGTTTATGCATAGCCTCAGAGTCATGCCGCAGATGGAAAGAGCAGGGCTAATATGACTAATTTGGTCTATTTTAATTGTATCACAAATGCTATAGTAGTTAGTGCTAAAGAATTTGCCAATTACATTTAAATTTGCAATTTAATTTCTTCATGGTTACCTTTTGGTCAATGAATAAAATATAGGTAAGAATTGCCTTGGATGCAGTTTAGGTTAGGACAGAGAAGGGAGAATGATGCTATATTTGGCACAGTATGTGTCGACATCGGTTGTCTATGTGTTAATATGTCACGTGTGGGTTAGGGATCCATAAGCTATCAAATAATATTTGTCTTAAGCAGTCAGTGTATGTGAAGATACTTTTCTTGGTCCTGTGATGTTTAAATAGACTAATTGACTCCATTCCAACCTTTAATATATAATTTTAAATTTGGAATTTCACCAAAATGTGAGATTTTTGTAAAATGTAAATTACATCTTGGTAAATGTAAAATTAGGCCTGACACTTGAAAGAAGATATGTTGTTCACCATAAAACAGAACTGTTTAACTTTTCTTCATATATGAAAAGGTCAGTCATAATATGACCCTTTATACTTCCATTGGGACAAAACATTATCTTTCATTCCTTTGACAAATTCAAGGTAAAGTTAAGACGGGGGAACAAAGGGAAGACATAGGAGGCAGGAGAACAGAAAGCAAAAGAAGAGAGAAAGAAATGTTTGGAGAGGGGAGGAAAATGTTCTTATCTGAACTGTGATATCCTGAACCATTTTTGACCACAGAATAAATATTTGTAGATACTGATTTCCCAATGCAAAATGACAAAGACCAGTAAAGGGAGGTTAAGCAAAACACTTAAATTGGGAGTCAAAGTTCGATGTAAAGAAAGGGGACATTAACATAGATAGGGAATAATCGCACCCCTCCACTATATATTAAAGAAGAATTGAACCAGAGCTTTTAGGAGTTTATTTCTCCATTCTCTGGAGATAAAGTCTTTTGCACACATTTGGAATGCTGGAGCGTATTCAATATGGAAACTGAAAGAAATCTCAGTGACATGTGAGGCAATAACAAAAATTTGTCAGCTACTGGCTAGCTCAATAAGTAAAGGATTTTTTATTTAATTCTTTCAAAGTTGTGGCACCCATGGCAAGATGATGCTGGAAAGAGAATAATTTGTTAATAACAAATCTCCAGCAATGCAAATCTCCCAC